CCCCACCCCCCTTTTCCCCTCCCCCCTCACCTGTGGCGCCCCCTCTGCCGCTCCGGACTGGTCCGAACTGGTCCGAACTGGTCCGAACTGGTCCGAACTGGTCCGAACTGGTCCGAACTGGTTTGGACTGGTCCGTCCCGCTCCCTCCTGCTCCGTACTGGGATTTACTGGGATTTACTGGGACGGGCGGGGGGAGGGGATCAGAGCGGCTCAAGGGAGGGGGAGGGGCCGGGAGAGGGGGAGGGGCCGGCGCTCACCAGTATAAACCAGTCCAAACCAGTATAAACCAGTCCGGACCAGTTTGGGGCTCCGGGAATCCCAGTTCGGACCAGTTTGGGGCTCGGGGGGCCCAGTATGGAGCAGTTGCTCCCTCCCAGTATAAACCAGTCCAAACCAGTTTAAACCAGTCCAAACCAGTATAAACCAGTCCAAACCAGTGCGAACCAGTCCAAACCAGTTTAAACCAGTCCAAACCAGTTTAAACCAGTCCAAACCAGTTTAAACCAGTCCAAACCAGTGCGAACCAGTCCAAACCAGTTCCTCCCAGTCTAAACCAGTTCCTCCCAGTATAAACCAGTGTAAACCAGTCCAAACCAGTATAAACCACTGCGAACCGATCCAAACTGGTTCCTCCCACTTCCCTCCAGTCCAAACCAGTCCAAACCAGTTCCTCCCAGTCTAAACCAGTATAAACCAGTCTAAACCAGTACGAACCGATCCAAACTGGTTCCTCCCACTTCCCTCCAGTCCAAACCAGTTCCTCCCAGTCTAAACCAGTATAAACCAGTCTAAACCAGTCTAAACCAGTATAAACCAGTGCGAACCAGTCCAAACCAGTTCCTCCCAGTCTAAACCAGTATAAACCAGTATAAACCAGTCTAAACTGGTTCCTCCCACTTCCCTCCAGTCCAAACCAGTCCAAACCAGTCCCTCCCAGTATAAACCAGTTCCTCCCAGTATAAACCAGTCCAAACTAATCCTGCCCAGTATAAACCAGTCCCTCCCAGCCCAAACCAGTATAAACCAATCCAAACCAGTATAAACCAGTCCCTCCCAGTCTAAACCAGTCCAAACCAGTTCTTCCCAATCCCTCCCAGTCCAAACCAGTCCCTCCCAGTATAAACCAGTATAAACCAGTCCAAAAAAGGGACCCAAGAGACTCCGGCAGGGCTGAACCATTTTATTGAGGGGAGGGAATTTTTTTAGGGGGGAAATTTTGGGGATGGGAAAATTTTGGGAATTTTTGGGATTTTCTTGAAGGGAAATTTTGGGAATTTTTTGGGAATTTTTTGGGAATTTTTTGGGAATTTTTTGGGAATTTTTTGGGAATTTTTTGGGAATTTTTTGGGGAATTTTTTGGGAATTTTTGGGGAATTTTTTGGGAATTTTTTGGGAATTTTTGGGGTTTCCCCTCCCCCAACTCATCCCGGGAGGATTCACAGCCGGGGGGGAGGGGCGGAAATTCCCAAATTTTGGGTGGAAAATCCCAAAAATTTGGGTGGAAAATCCCAAAATTTGAGAGGGGAGGGGCGAAAATTTGGCGGGAAAAAAATCCCAAAATTTGGGAAAAAAAATCCCCAAATTTGGGGGGAAATTCCATTTTTTTGGGGGGAGGGGTGTTGGGGTCAAATCTCGGGATCATCCCAAAATTTTTTGGGGAATTTTTTTGAATTTTTTTATTGGGAATTTTTTTTGGGGAATTCCCAAAAATTTGGGGAAAAAAACGGTGAAAATTTGGGGGGGAAAATTCCAAATAATTCGGATTTTTTTGGAGGTTTTTGGGATCAAAGCGGGATCTGAAGATCCCGAATTTTTTGGGGGCGATTCCCAAATTTTTTTGGGAATCCCTGAACTTGGTACGGTCCAAAACGGGGGGGAAAAAATGCAAAAAAAGGCAGAAAAATTCAAATTTTGGGGATTTTTTGGGGGATTTTTTGGGGGATTTTTTGGGATTCGGATCCCGAATTTTTTTTGGGATGAATTCCCAAGTTTTTGGGATCAGACGAGGAACTCCTGAACTTGGTACGCTCCAAAATAGGGGGAGAAAAACGCAAAAAAAGGCGAAAAAAATCGAATTTTGGGTGGATTTTTTGGGGATTTTTTTGGGGATTTTTTTGGATTCGGATCCCGAATTTTTTTTTGGGATGAATTCCCGAGTTTTTGGGATCAGACGAGGAACTCCTGAACTTGGTAGGGTCCAAAATAGGGGGAGAAAAACGCAAAAAAAGGCGAAAAAAATCGAATTTTTGGGGATTTTTTTTGGTGTCTTTTTTGATTTTTTGGGATTTTTTGGGATTCGGATCCCGAATTTTTTTTTGGGATGAATTCCCGAGTTTTTGGGATCAGACGAGGAACTCCTGAACTTGGTAGGGTCCAAAATAGGGGGAGAAAAACGCAAAAAAAGGGGAAAAAAATCGAATTTTGGGTGGATTTTTTGGGGATTTTTTGGGATTCGGATCCCGAATTTTTTTTGGGATGAATTCCCGAGTTTTTGGGATCAGACGAGGGATCCCGAGGGCTGAGGGAAGTCGGGGTTGGTGAAGCTGAACCCCTCGAACTCGGCCTGGTCCAGCCCCGCCAGGACCAGCGCGTCCGGGGGCGTCAGAGCCGGCGGCGCCCGCGTGAAAAAATGATCGAAATTCTCCCCGTTCCGACCGCACTTTTTGGGGGAAAAAAGGGAAAATTTGGGAAAAAATGGGGGGAAATTGGGGGGAAAAAATGAGGGAGAAAAGGGGAAAAAAAAAGGGAAAATTTAGGAAAATTTTGGGGGGAAATTAGAGAAAAAACGGGGGAAATTTGGGGGGAAATTGAGAAAAAATTGGGAAAAAATGGGGGGAAAATGGGAAAAATTGAAGGAAAATTTTGGGGAATTGGGGGGGAAAATGGAGAAAAAATTGGGGAAATTGGGGGAGAATTTGGGGAAAATTGGGGGGAAAATTAGGGGAAATTTTGGGGAAAAAATGAGGGAAAATGGGGGAGAAAAGGGGAAAAATTGGGGGAAATTTAGGGAAAATTGGGGAAAATTTTGGGGAAAAAATGAGGGAGAAAAAGGGAAAAAGGGGGGGAAAATTGGGGAGAATTTGGGAAAATTTGGGGGAAAATTTGGGGGAAAATTGGGGGAAAATTTGGGAAAATTTTGGGGAAAAATGAGGGAAAAAAAAGAGGAAAAAATGGGAAATTCAGGGATTAAAAATGGGGAAAAAAGAAGTAAAAAACGGGGTAAAAAGGGAAAAATAAGGGATTAAAAATAGGGAAAAAAGGGTGAAAAATAGGGAGGAAAAAAGGGAGAAAATGGAGAGAAAAATGGGGAAAAAAGGGAAATTAAGGGATAAAAAATGGGAAAAAAGGGGGGGAAAATAAGGAGAAAATGGGGAAAAAATGGGGGGAAAAGGGAAAAAAACGAATTCAAAACAAAAGAGAAAAGAAGAAATGAAAAAGGGAAAAAAAAGGAGAAATAAAAAGGGAGGAAAATAAAAGGGAAAAGAAAGAAAAAGGAAAAGAAAACCCCAAAAAAAAACCCCAAAAAAACCCAAAAAGAAAAAAAAAAACCAAAAAATCCCAAAACCCCCAAATTCCCCCCAAAAAAACCCAAATTCCAGCCCCAAAAGTCCCGAAAATCCCAAATTTCCACCCCAAAAATCCCAAATTTCCACCCCAAAAAAGCAAAACGGACAAACACAGAGAGAGAGAAAATCGGGATCAGAGGGGGGAGCCCAAAATCCGGGAATTTGGGGGAATTGGGGAAAAATTGGGGAAAAATTGGGGAATTTTGGGGAAAAATTGGGGGAATTTTGGGGAAAAATTGGGGAAAAATTGGGGGAATTTTGGGGAAAAATTGGGGGAATTTTGGGGAAAAATTGGGGGAATTTTGGGGAAAAATTGGGGGAATTTTGGGGGATTTTGGGGAATTTTTCTGGGAATTTTTTGGGAAAAATTTGGGGGAATTTTGGGGGAATTTTAGGGAAAAAATGGAGGAATTTTGGGGGAATTTTGGGGAAAAATTGGGGGAATTTTGGGGATTTTTTTGGAATTTGTGGGGAATTTTTGGGGAAAATTTGGGGGAATTTGGGGAAAAATTGGGGAATAATTGGGGGAATTTTGGAGGAATTTTGGGGGAATTTTAGGGAAAAAATGGAGGAACTTTGGGGGAATTTTGGAGGAATTTTGGGGGAATTTTAGGGAAAAAATGGAGGAACTTTGGGGGAATTTTGGAGGAATTTTGGGGGAATTTTAGGGAAAAAATGGAGGAACTTTGGGGGAATTTTGGAGGAATTTTGGGGGAATTTTAGGGAAAAAATGGAGGAACTTTGGGGGAATTTTGGAGGAATTTTGGGGGAATTTTAGGGAAAAAATGGAGGAACTTTGGGGGAATTTTGGAGGAATTTTGGGGGAATTTTAGGGAAAAAATGGAGGAACTTTGGGGGAATTTTGGAGGAATTTTGGGGGAATTTTAGGGAAAAAATGGAGGAACTTTGGGGGAATTTTGGAGGAATTTTGGGGGAATTTTAGGGAAAAAATGGAGGAACTTTGGGGGAATTTTGGAGGAATTTTGGGGGAATTTTAGGGAAAAAATGGAGGAACTTTGGGGGAATTTTGGAGGAATTTTGGGGGAATTTTAGGGAAAAAATGGAGGAACTTTGGGGGAATTTTGGAGGAATTTTGGGGGAATTTTAGGGAAAAAATGGAGGAACTTTGGGGGAATTTTGGAGGAATTTTGGGGGAATTTTAGGGAAAAAATGGAGGAACTTTGGGGGAATTTTGGAGGAATTTTGGGGGAATTTTAGGGAAAAAATGGAGGAACTTTGGGGGAATTTTGGAGGAATTTTGGGGGAATTTTAGGGAAAAAATGGAGGAACTTTGGGGGAATTTTGGAGGAATTTTGGGGGAATTTTAGGGAAAAAATGGAGGAACTTTGGGGGAATTTTGGAGGAATTTTGGGGGAATTTTAGGGAAAAAATGGAGGAACTTTGGGGGAATTTTGGAGGAATTTTGGGGGAATTTTAGGGAAAAAATGGAGGAACTTTGGGGGAATTTTGGAGGAATTTTGGGGGAATTTTAGGGAAAAAATGGAGGAACTTTGGGGGAATTTTGGAGGAATTTTGGGGGAATTTTAGGGAAAAAATGGAGGAACTTTGGGGGAATTTTGGAGGAATTTTGGGGGAATTTTAGGGAAAAAATGGAGGAACTTTGGGGGAATTTTGGAGGAATTTTGGGGGAATTTTAGGGAAAAAATGGAGGAACTTTGGGGGAATTTTGGAGGAATTTTGGGGGAATTTTAGGGAAAAAATGGAGGAACTTTGGGGGAATTTTGGAGGAATTTTGGGGGAATTTTAGGGAAAAAATGGAGGAACTTTGGGGGAATTTTGGAGGAATTTTGGGGGAATTTTAGGGAAAAAATGGAGGAACTTTGGGGGAATTTTGGAGGAATTTTGGGGGAATTTTAGGGAAAAAATGGAGGAACTTTGGGGGAATTTTGGAGGAATTTTGGGGGAATTTTAGGGAAAAAATGGAGGAACTTTGGGGGAATTTTGGAGGAATTTTGGGGGAATTTTAGGGAAAAAATGGAGGAACTTTGGGGGAATTTTGGAGGAATTTTGGGGGAATTTTAGGGAAAAAATGGAGGAACTTTGGGGGAATTTTGGAGGAATTTTGGGGGAATTTTAGGGAAAAAATGGAGGAACTTTGGGGGAATTTTGGAGGAATTTTGGGGGAATTTTAGGGAAAAAATGGAGGAACTTTGGGGGAATTTTGGAGGAATTTTGGGGGAATTTTAGGGAAAAAATGGAGGAACTTTGGGGGAATTTTGGAGGAATTTTGGGGGAATTTTAGGGAAAAAATGGAGGAACTTTGGGGGAATTTTGGAGGAATTTTGGGGGAATTTTAGGGAAAAAATGGAGGAACTTTGGGGGAATTTTGGAGGAATTTTGGGGGAATTTTAGGGAAAAAATGGAGGAACTTTGGGGGAATTTTGGAGGAATTTTGGGGGAATTTTGGGGAAAATCCAGGAAAATTTGGGACATTTTTGGACATTTTGGGGACGTTTTTTGGCATTTTGAGGCCGTTTTTGGACGGATTTTCGCGGGGATTTCGGGGAAAATTCCGGATTTATTTTCGGGATGGGTTTTCCAAGGAATTTTTGGGAATTCTGGGGAAAAATCCAGGAAAATTTGGGGGAATTTGGGACATTTGGGGGACGTTTTTTGGCTTTTCCAGGCCGTTTTTGGACGGATTTTCGCGGGGATTTCGGGGAAAATTCCGGATTTATTTTCGGGATGGGTTTTCCAAGGGATTTTTGGGAATTCTGGGGAAAATCCAGGAAAATTTGGGACATTTTGGGGCATTTTGGGGACTTTTCTGGCGTTTAGAGGCCGTTTTTGGACGGATTTTCGCGGGGATTTCGGGGAAAATTCCGGATTTATTTTCGGGATGGGTTTTCCAAGGAATTTTTGGGAATTTTGGGGAAAATCCAGGAAAATTTGGGACATTTTGGGGCATTTTGGGGACTTTTCTGGCGTTTAGAGGCCGTTTTTGGACGGATTTTCGCGGGGATTTCGGGGAAAATTCCGGATTTATTTTCGGGATGGGTTTTCCAAGGAATTTTTGGGAATTCTGGGGAAAAATCCAGGAAAATTTGGGGGAATTTGGGACATTTGGGGGACGTTTTTTGTGTTTTCCAGGCCGTTTTTGGACGGATTTTCGCGGGGATTTCGGGGAAAATTCCGGATTTTTTTTCGGGATGGGTTTTCCAAGGGATTTTTGGGAATTCCGGGAGCACTCACCGGGCGGGGGGTGAAGGGGGGCGGCACCTCCAGGCGCTCCAGGCGTTCCCAATCCGTGCGGCGGAAGAAGGGATGAGCCCGGACCTCCTGCTCCCCCCCCGGCCCCGCTCCCAACCTTTTCCCGGGATGTTTCGTCAGGAACTGCGGAAAATTCCAGAAATTCCTCCATTTTTCCCGGGAAAAATAAAAAAAACCCCGCGAAAAACGGGGAAAAACCAGCCGGGAAAAACGGGGAATGAGTCGGGGTTAATTAAAGGGAATTCCAAGGTTTATCTTGGAGTTGTTGGAATTCCCAAATCGGGGAAAAATCGGGGGGGAATTGGGAGGAAAAATCGGGGGGAAAGTGGAAATGAGTGGGGGAAAAATTGGGAAAAAGACATAAAAAAATGGGGAAAGATCTGGGAAAAATTGGGAAAAAAAATCAGGAAAAATTGGGGGAAATTGGGAAAAAAAATCTCACAAAAAATGGGGGAAAATCAGGAAAAAATTGGAAAAAAAATCAGGAAAAATTGGGAAAAAAACCCAGAAAAAATTGGGGAAAAAAGTTGGGAAGACTTTGGAAAAAAGTGGGAAAAATCAGGAGAAAAATGAGAAAAAATTGGAAAATAATCAGGAAAAATTAGGAAAAAACCAGGACAAATTAGAAAAATGTTGGGAAAAAATAGAAAAAAACTCAGGAAAAATAAGGAAAAATTGGGAAGAAAAATCGGGAAAAAAATCAGGAAAAAATTTGGGAAAAATTGGGAAAAAAACCCCAAAAAATTGGGAAAAATTGGGAAAAAACCCCAAAAAATTGGGAAAAATTGGGAAAAAAATGCAGAAAATTGGGAAAAAACCCAAAAAATTGGGAAAAATTGGGAAAAAAACCCAGAAAAAATTGGGGAAAAAAGTTGGGAAGACTTTGGAAAAAAGTGGGAAAAATCAGGAGAAAAATGAGAAAAAATTGGAAAATAATCAGGAAAAATTAGGAAAAATCCAGGACAAATTAGAAAAATGTTGGGAAAAAATAGAAAAAAACTCAGGAAAAATAAGGAAAAATTGGGAAGAAAAATCGGGAAAAAAATCAGGAAAAAATTTGGGAAAAAACCACCAAAAAATGGGAAAAATCAGGAAAAAATTGGGAAAAATTGGGAAAAAACCCAGGAAAAATTGAAAAAAAATCAGGGGAAAATCAGGTAAAAAACCTCCAAAAACTGGGAAAAAAATCCAGGAAAAATTGGGAAAAAAACAGGAAAAAATTGGGAAAAAACCCACAAAAACAATTGGAAAAAATTGGAAAAAAAACAGGAAAAAATGGGAAAAAAACAGGAAAAAAATGGGAATAAAACCACAAAAAATTGGAAAAAATTGGGAAAAATCAGGAAAAAACTGGGAAAAAACCACCAAAAAATTGGGAAAAAATTGGGAAAAAAAATCCAAAAAATTGGGATAAAATTGGGAAAAAAACACCAAAAAATTGGGAAAAAATTGGGAAAAAACCCCAAAAAATTGGGAAAAAATTGGGAAAAAAACCCCAAAAATTGGGAAAAAATTGGGAAAAAAACCCCAAAAAATTGGGAAAAAATTGGGAAAAAACCCCAAAAAATTGGGGAAAAATTGGGAAAAAAACCCCAAAAAATTGGGAAAAAATTGGGAAAAAAACCCAAAAAATTGGGAAAAAACCCAAAAAATTGGGAAAAAATTGGGAAAAAAACCCCAAAAATTGGGAAAAAATTGGGAAAAAACCCAAAAAATTGGGGAAAAATTGGGAAAAAAACCCCAAAAAACTGGGAAAAAATTGGGAAAAAAACCCCCAAAAATTGGGAAAAAATTGGGAAAAAACCCCAAAAAATTAGGAAAAAATTGGGAAAAAAACCCCAAAAATTGGGAAAAAATTGGGGGATAAAGGGATTGAGTTGGGAATTGTTGGGAATGGTTGGGAATTTTTGGGAATTGTCGGGAATTGTGGCTCACCCCCTTGCAGATGGCCACGGCCTCGCGGGACAGGGATTTGGGATACGTCACCGTCTGCTCCAGGATGGATTGGAAAAGCTCATCCTCGTCCTCGCCGTCGAACGGGGGCTGCAGGGAGCACAAAACATTCCCAAAATATTCCCAAAAAATCCCCAAAAATCCCCAAAATATTCCCAAAAAACCCTCAGAATGTCCCAAAAAAATCCCCCCAAAAATCCCCAAAATATTCCCAAAAAAATCCCCCCAAAATCCCCAAAATATTCCCAAAAAATCCCCCCAAAATCCCCAAAATATTCCCAAAAAGTCCCCAAAATATTCCAAAAAAACCCCCAAAAAATCCCCCCAAAATCCCCAAAATATTCCCAAAAAAATCCCCCCAAAATCCCCAAAATATTCCCAAAAAATCCCCCCAAAATCCCCAAAATATTCCCAAAAAGTCCCCAAAATATTCCCAAAAAACCCCCAAAAAATCCCCCCAAAATCCCCAAAATATTCCCAAAAAACCCCAGAATGTTCCCAAAAAATCCCCCCAAAATCCCCAAAAATTCCCCAAAAATTTCCAAAAAATTCCCCCAAAATTATCCCAAAAACGACCCCAAAATTATCCCAAAAATCCCCCCAAATTATCCCAAAAATCCCCCAAAATTATCCCAAAAATCCCCCAAAATTATCCCAAAAATTCCCCAAAATTTATCCCAAAATTATCCCAAAATTATCCCAAAATTATCCCAAAATTCCCTTAAAATTATCCCAAAATTATCCCAAAATTATCCCAGAATTCCCTTAAAATTATCCCAAAAATTCCCCAAAATTTATTCCAAAAATCCCCAAAATTATCCCAGAATTCCCTTAAAATTATCCCAAAAATTCCCCAAAATTTATCCCAAAAATTCCCCAAAATCCCCAAAATTCCCCAAAATTATCCCAAAAATTCCCCAAAATTTATCCCCAAAATCCCCAAAATTTATCCCAAAATTATCCCAAAAATCCCTTAAAATTATCCCAAAAATTCCCCAAAATCTCCCAAAAATTATCCCAAAATTATCCCAAAATTCCC